TCCCAGACCCGAAATAATCACACAGAACCTATATTATTACAACACTGGTTGGCCTATTAGCTCACGTTTCTTATCGGCTAGCTCTTATCTTAAACTAACCCATCTCTATTATTTTATATTTTACCACAAGGTTTACCTGTAAGGTTCTGGCATCTGTCTCCTGCAGCTACATGGTATCTTCTTGACTCTGCCTACTCTCTACGTCTCTGCTCGTATTTCCCTCCTGGCTTTACTCTGTTAAGCATTGGCCAAAAGCTGCTTTATTCATTAACCAATAAAAGCAGCACATATACAGAAGGACTTCCCACCAGCAATGGATGGTTCCCCTTGTTCCACATCCTCATCAGCAGGAGCTGTCACTTGTGTTGTTGATTGTAGCTATTTTGACAGGTGTAAGATGAAACCTCAAAGTAGTTTTGCTTTGCTTTGCATCTCTCTGGTGACTAAGGATGTTGAATATTTGCTTACCTTGTTCTCAGACATTTGAATTTTCCTCTATTGAGAATTCTCTGTTTAGATTTGTGGGCTTTTTATTTTCTGTTGGGGAAAAGCTCAAGACAGGGTCTCACTATGCTTACCGTGTAGCTCTGGCTGTCCTGCAACTCATTCTGCAGACCAGGCTGGCCTCAAACTCAACGCGATCCACCTGCCTCTGCCTCCCTAGTGCTGGGATTAAAGGCTTTCGACACTATTACCAGCTCGTATTACAATTATTATATTTTGATATCTGGTTTCTTGGGTCCTTTATATATTTTAGATATATATCCTCTAATGAAGATGGAGTTGATAAAAATCTTTTTCCATTCTGTAGGATGCTGTTTTATCTTAATAATTGTAATCTTTGCCTTTCAGAAGCTTATCAGTTTCATGAGGTTCTATTTATTAATTGTTGATCTTAGTGCCTGTGATAATGGTGTTCTATTCAATTTTTTTTTTCTGTGCTAATGAGTTCAAGACTATTCCCCGTTTTCTCTTTTCTCAGGTTCAGTGTATCTGTTTTATGTTGAGGTCTTTGATCCACTTGGAGTTGAGTTTTGTGCATGCAGGGTGATAAGTATGTGTCTGTTTGCATTCTTCCACATGCAAATCTCCAGTACAACCAACATCATTTATTAAAGATTCTGTCTTTTTTCCAGTGTGTCTTTCAGGTGTCCATAGGTATGTGGATTTATATCTGGGTCTTCAATTTGATTCCACTGATCAATGTTTCTGATTTTTTGGTGTTTTTTTTTTTTTTTTTTTTTGCCAATACCATGCTGCTTTTATTGCTATACCTTGTAGCAAAACTTGAAATTAGGAATGGTGTACCTCCAGCAGTTTTTTTTTTTAATTGTTCTGGGTTGTTTTAGCTACCCTGAATTCTTTTTGTGCTTCCATTTGAAGCTGAGAATTGTCCTTTCAAGATCTGTGAAGAATTGTGTTGGCATTTTGAAGGGGATTGCATTGAATTTGTAGGTTGCTTTTGGTAGGATGGGCATTTTTATTGTGGTAATCCTACTGATCCATGAGCATGGGAGATCTTTCCATCTTCTGATATCTTGTTTAATTTCTTTTTTCAAAGACTTGAAGTTCTTATACACATCTTTCACTTTCTTGGTTAGAATTACCCTCAAGATTTTTTTTATTATTTGATGCTATTGTGAAAGGTGTTATTTCTGTTCTCAGTGAGTTTGTCATTTGTATATAGGAAGGCTACTGATTTTTGTGAGTTAATTTTGTATCCAGCTACTTTGCTAAAAGTGTTTATTATCTGTAGGAGTTTCCTGGTGGAAATTTTAGGGTCACTTATATATTCTTTCTGGTTTTATTTTGTGAAATAATTTGAGGTATATTGGCATTAAAACTTCTTTGAAAGTCTGGAAGAATCCTGTGCTAAAACCATCTGGTCCTGGGGTTGGGTTTTTGTTTGTTTGTTTGTTTGGAGACTTTTATGACTTCTTTATTTTTTCAGATTATTTTTTAAGGCTATTTTGTCACATATTCAAATGGCCATACCAGCTTGTTTCTTAGGTCCATTTATTAAGAAGATATATTTTTAGATCTTTTACCTTGATGTCTTTTCTTGATGTTGAGGTGTTTTTTTTTTGGGGGGGGGGCTGTGGCAGAAGGATGGATCCTGTTTCAGAATCCATTGTGTCTTTTTATTGGGGAAATGAGACTATTGTTATAGAGTGATTGTAGTGATACTTTGTTTGTGTTTTAACAAATAAAGCTTGCCTGAAGATCAGAGTGTAGAGCTAAACTAGGCAGTGATTAATCCCCAGCACTTGGGAGAGGGCAAAATTTAACCTCTGAGTTCAAGGCCATCCTGGGTAATCTCTCCAGGCTCAAAGAGAAACACAGCCTGGTGGTGGCAACTCACACCTTTAATCCAGTATGCAGGAGTCACATACCTTTAATCCCAGCACTAAGGAAGTAGAGACCAGGGAGATGGCTTTGTTGATAAAGTGCTCAGTCCCAGAATGTGGTCCTTGTTGGTGCTGGTGAAGTGGCTCAGGGGTTAAGCCTGACAATCTGTTTAATTCACAGAAGTCACAACGTGGAAGGAGAGACCCAATCCCAAAAGTTGTTCTCTGACTTCCACACTTGCATGGTGCACACAAGTACACACACATACACCATAAATAAATATTTAAAAAAAAAAGCCAGGCATAGTGGAATTTATCTTTAACTCAGTAGGAAGAAACAGGTGAATCTCTGAGTTTGAGGCGCCCTGGTCCAGATAGTGAGTTCCAAGACAGACATAGCTACATAGACTCAGTCTCAAAAAAAAAAAAAAAAAGTAGATGAGGTTAATTTTTGGAGGTTTATTATCTCTATTTTATGGGTGTTTTACTTACAATAGTATGCATGACTCTGAAGAGGGAGTTGGATCCCCTGGAGCTGGAGTTATAGACAATTGGTAGCCACCATGTGGATGCTGTGAATGGAAATCATGTCCTTTGGAAAGACAGCCAGTCCTCTTAACCACTGAGCCATCTCTCCAGTCCTGGGTGTGATTATTTTAGACAATCTCAGCCATAGGGAAGCAAAGGCAGATGAATCTTGGGGCTCACCGACCATCGGGCATACTCTCGTCTGTCTTTTCTTCTCATTGGCCTTGCCATGCACACATAATCCCTGAACTGGGACATGAGGCAAGACCACCAGCAGTTGGAGGCTATGCTATACAGGTCGCTTGAACCCAGCCTGGGTTATACCAGACCCTGTCTCAAGCAGAAAGGAAAAGAAACATATGTAATTCCATCACTTGGGAAGCAGATGCAGGAGAGTCTCGAGCTTTAGGACAGCCTGGCTATATAGATTCAGGACAACCTAAATCATTTAAATCAAAGAAAAACTAGCAAGGATTTTATTAGATTCCTAAGGATGATTTTGCGTTCCCTACCCCATCCTCATTTTAAATAATGGAGAATATATTTGTGATAATAGAAAAGTAATATATCCATTGTTTGGGGGAGGGAAGGAGATATAGAAAAAATAAGGAGGAAGATACAAACTTTGACTGCTCTCAAAGTGAAAACTCTGACCTGCTTGCTGATGGAGGTTGAGACACATAAAGGGATACCCTAAATAGAATGCTATATCCTCCATTTCCCACTGAAATGATACGAAAAGCATTTTCCCCACTATTAAAATATCCTTGAGATTGTGACTTATGGAACTAAATTGTATATTCCAGCGTAAGTATTGGTTAATAATTGTTTCAGTAAAAGTTGCCCAGCAATGAATTTCAGATAATGTCCACAATTTTTTGTTCTGTTGTTTATTGAGATAAAGTTTCTCTCTGTAGCTCTGGCTGTTCTGATCCACCTGCCTCCTGAGTGTTGCGTTGAAAAGCGTGGGCCACCATGCCCCATCAAGAGAATGTCCACAGTTATACTACCAGTAATGAGCAGCGGGGCGGCTGGGACAAACAAAAGGCCCCTCACACACACCGCTTCCTACTACAACTGAGCATCTTATACCCAACAATTTCTTTCCTACCAGCATACATTCTGCAAGGTGACACATTTCTCTGAAAAGACGCCGAAAGGAATAGTACGATTTTATGTAAAATGTCCTCCTACAACGGCAAAGGAAGGCCCCCAGAAGTGGTCCTAACTTGCAGATACCTTGGAGTCCAGGAGCGACACGACTAAGCAATATACATCTTTATGATAAAGGCCCAACATCAAAAGCGACAGGAACCTTGTAGGACAAACCATCACCACAACCCCAAAATGAAGCCAATTGTCCGTGATGATCAAACTGCATCTTGGAACAGATGTAATCATCTTACCGGAAACATAAAATTTGTTTTCAATTCTTTTAGGTCAGTATTGAGTAAAGGAAAAGTCATTGAACATTTGGGTGTAGCTGGGCGGTGGTGGTGCACGCCTTTAATCCCAGCACTTGGGGGTGGCAGAGGCAGGCGGATCTCTGTGAGTTCGAGGTCAGCCTGGTCCACAAGAGCTAGTTTCAGGACAGGCTCCAAAGCTACAGAGGAACCCTGTCTCAAAAAACCAAAAACCAAACCAAACCAAAAAAACCCATTTGGGCGTGCCCTTGGATGTAGAAGAACTGGGAGGTGTAGCTCAGTAGTACAGTCCAGGCCTAGCATGTTCAAATCAACTGTTCAACCCCTAATAATACCGATGATGATAAGCAGGCCTGTAATCCAAAGACTGAGGAGCTGAGGCAGGAGAATCAGGTGTCCAAGGCTTCTAGCTGTCAACATCGAAGCAAAGTCTGGGCTGTATGAGAATGTCTTTTTTTAAAAAAAAAAAAAAATGGGGAGAATGTAGAACTCATATCTGCCAAGTGAAACAATTACCGGCCCTCTTTATATCTCACCAGCAAAATTTCTCCCTCTCTCCCTTGGACCCTTAGCGTTTGCACACATCCAAGATGGTGGTGGATCAAGGAAGCCAAACAGGTCACAGCTCTCCTTCCCACAATGGGCGCGGGCGCCGCCTGCGCAGGCGCAGCCCGGTTTCCCTAGCCGACCTTGGCGGAGCGCGCCTGCGCAGTGGGGAGCGGTTCGCGGCTAGGTTTTGGTGCTGGCTGCAGTCTCGGTCTGAAGGCGGCCGGCTTGAGCGCCTGTCTCCACGAAGATGAGGCTTCTGCTGCTTGTCCTGGTGGCGGCGTCGGCGGTGGTCCGCAGCGAGGCCTCTGCCAACCTGGGCGGCGTGCCCAGCAAGAGATTAAAGATGCAGTACGCCACGGGGCCGCTGCTCAAGTTCCAGATTTGGTGAGTACGTGCGGCGACCCCCGGCTTCGCGGCCTAGCGGGCTGCCCGCTGCCTGGCGGCAGAGCGCGGCGCCGGCTCCCGGCCGCATCGGGTCGTCTCTGTCCTCGGAGCCCTGCCCGTGGTCCCCGGCAGCCTCCGGAGTGCCGGGCTGGGGCTGCAGGCCTTGCCGAGGCGGCGGGGCTCCGCATCGCTGCGCGCCCGGAGCCGGGCCCGGCTGGGCTGTGCGGCGGAGCTCGGAGGACGCGAGGTGGAGTCCGCCGCTCCTAGTACCGCGGCTCGGCTCCGCGGCTCCCGCACGCCTCCCGGGCGTCCGTCGACTTTGAAATGGCTTGTGCATTCATGGAAAAAAAAAAAAAAAAAAGGAAGGGAACCCGTCCGTTTTCGACGCCACTTAGTAATTGACTTTGTTGTTGAAAGATAGTTGCGCGTTAGAAGCAGAACAAGGGATCATTTTTACTCAGGTGACAAGGGTTGGGGAAGCTTTCAAAAGCGCCGTTTAAAAAAAAAATCACAAGGATGGAGAAAGTGAAACCTCAAAAGATGGGGTTTTCTCAGGATGGGATGTCAGATTAGTAATTCTTTTCAGAATATGGATACTTTGCAGTGCCGTTATTGGCCAGAATTCATTTAAAACCGACTTTTCCAAAACGTGTACTAGTTAATCTTAAGTTTAAATTTTTATTTCATCGTTTTGCATAATCACTGAAGACGAAGCCAACAGCTGAAAATGAAAGGTCAGTTTGTGATATTTAAACCGCAGAATCAGAAAATAAGACGGGGATTTGAATTTGGCGTGAAAATTTGGCGATTTCTTCCCGGTTATAGACAAAATTCCCTGCGAACTTTACTGTATGCCCGGACTTATCATCACGCTACAGATCGCCGCTGTTCCACTGACCTACACCCATGGCTCCTCGTGCTTTTCTTTTTCTAAGAAGGTGGTAGCTGTTGTACCAGCTTACAAAGATGGCTAATGATTAAAAGACTGAAGTTTTCAACTTGAACTCCTGGTTTTTCAAAGTACTTTTTTGTGTGTACTTTTGCTTGCATTGGGATTCTTTTATATATATGTGTGTGTGTGTGTGTGTGTGTGTGTGTGTGTGTGTGTAAATGATTGTCTGTCACAGTGCCCATGGAGAAATCACAGGATAGCGTGCAGGAGTTGGTTCTTGCCTTCTACCATGTTGACCAGGGGCATTGAATTCAATCCAGTTTCCAAATCTCTCTGACACAATACTTGGATTCTTGTTACAACTTTACTTAAGATTTCTAAAAGTGTACACATAGCCTGGTGATGACTGTTATCTCAGTAGTTAGGAGATGATATGGGATTCCCCTCTGTATATATGCTGTGAACATCATTGGTTAATAAAGGAACTGCTTTGGGCCTGTATCAGAGCTATAGGGGAACAAAGCTGGGAGGGGACTAAATTGGATGCTGGGAGAAAGGAGGCGGAGTCAGGGAGAAACCATGGAGTCCTCAGACCTGCTGAAACTTTGCGGGTAGGCCACGACCTCGTGGTGGTGCACAGATTAATGGAGATGGATTAAATTAAGATGTAATAGTTAGCCAATAAGAAGCCAGAGCTAATGGGCCAAGCAGTGATTTAAATAATACAGTTTCTGTGTGATTATTTCCGGGCTAAGCGGCTAAGAACTAACTAGCGGCCTCCTTCAAGGAAGATCAAATATTCCAGATCAACCCTGGCTACATAGGTCAGAAACCAACCTGAGCTACCCCAGTCCCTGTCTCAACAAAACTACAGCAAGTGGGGGGAATGGCAAGCAGGCATTAAAGCTTTTAAAAACATCATAATTTTGGGTGAATTAGTATATTTTTGTAATTTAGGTTCAGACTTGTTTAAAATGACAGATATATTTGTTTTGCAGTCATCGTTAGCCCTTTGTTGTAACACAAGGGGCCTGCTCGTTGGGGTTTTCATCCCAGTTTCCACAACTGGTAAGCCCCAAAGAAAATCACACAGAGTCTGCATTAATTATAAACTGATTGGCCCATTAGCTCAGGCTTCATATTAGCTCTTGTAACTTATGTTAGCCCATTACTCTAGTCTATGTTAGCCACATGGTTCAGTACCTTTTTCAGTGGGGCAGGGCACATCCTGCTTCTTTGGTGGTCTGGGCAGGAGTGGGAGGAATGGGCTTCCTCCTTCCTAGAATTCTCCTGTTCCCATCACCCAGACTCTACTTCCTGTCTGGTTGACCCGCCTAACTTCCTGCCTGGCCAATCAGCGTTTATTTAAAACATGATTGACAGAATACAGACAATTCTCCTGCACCACTTTATTGTTTCAGAATATTACATCAGAAACAGCTTTGTTATAACACCCTACCAAGTTGTCAAACTAGCTTTCTGTTCTTCCCCTACAGATTCGTCTGTTCATGGTACATGACTATTAGGCTTCTGGTTTGACAGACTCCTTTAAAACATTTGCTTGCAGGTTTGTGAAGGGAAAAGAAACTAATATAACTAAGCATAAACACATGAAAAAAACCTTAAATTAAATTTTGTTTGAAATTTTAGTGCTGTAAAACTTTTTTTTCAACTTAACTGTTTTAAAGAAGTTTTATTGATTTTTGTGTTCATATTTATTGTGAGTACCTTTTCATGAACAGTTGTAGCTCAGTACACCTGCCTTCTGGTGCTACCACTTCAGTGCTAGAAGAACAGACCTGCGACACTGTGTAAGGAATTGAATTAGAAAGGATGAAGCTTCTGACCAAGTTCTGTGTTCTTGTGCCTTTCCCACAACTGTCCATTCGGTTCCTGCTGTGACCCTAGTTTAAGATTTCAGTGTACTAAACAGGGCCACCCGGAAAACTTCCAAAAAACGGTGCCATTTTGTTCTCTGTATCTGAGTTCTGTTGTGTTAGTTGATCTGAGTTCTGTTGAATCTCTACGCTGTTATGTTAGTTGAATGAGCAGCAGATAGATACTTTTGGTGTCAGTGATTTCATATTGAGTGTTTGGATGTTTAAATTCTAGTCAGACCTTGGCCTAGGGTTCTGTGTCACTGTCCTTCCTCTGACTTCTATGGACCAGTGTATTCTGGGAGCTGCCCATAGGCATGACGGGTCTTTATTTTCTTTTACGTGTGATTTAACATCCACTATCCACACAGTTCTACAGTTCCTACAGTTTAAGGGGTTACTGACTATAACTTTTTACAGTTAATATTCCCTTGAGCATTAGACAATTGAATTACTGATAACAGTAGATTAGATGAAATTAAGGTTTCAGAACAATTTTCAAATTAGTATTCAATTATTCACTGCTATAATTCCAGGATAGCCAGCTCCTGCTTACAGTTTCATGAGATAAGTGAGGCAGGTATTGTGAAACTAGATTTTTATTTACATGTGTGCTGTCTCAGCCTTGCTTTCATAGTACAGTAGAAAGAAATTGACCCAGTATTGAAGGAGCTGGAGAGATGCTCAGTTAAGACCTTGCAGCCCCAAGTTTCCACCTCTGCCTTCCAGAGACTGTAGTGATGTGTTTGTGTTTTAACAAATAAAGCTTGCCTGAAGATCAGAGCGCAGAGCTAAGCCGACAGAGGCCAGGGAGTGGTGGCACCCACCTTTAATCCCAGTACTCGGCATTAAAGAGATTAAAGAGGGATTCTGTTAGTTCAAAACCGCCTTGGGCTACACAAGATTGAATCTATCCAAAAGAGAAACAGCTCACACAAAGGTGACCCCAGCACTAGAGAGGTGGAGACAGGAGTGGTGTGGCTGGGCAGAGAGAGGAATATAAGGTGGGAGGAGATAGGAGCTCAGTGCAGTCTGAGGATTGGTGGAGACAGATGTAGTCTGGAGATGCAGTCTTGAGGACAGAATTGCTCCTGTCTGAGCATTGGTAGAGATAAAAGAACGCTCTAGCAGCTAGATGCTCTGCTTCTCTGATATTCAGCATTAACCCCTATATCTGACTATGAATTTTTATTACTAATGCCAATTAAAATTTATGCTACAAGAGACCTGCTCATACTCGCCTTTTCCACAGAAAAAGACCAAAACTGATTTATATGTTGATACTGATCAAGATTATTAAATGCAGAATTGGAGACATTGTGGATCATATTGGTTAATTGACTCTCGATATTTGCACACTTAACAAACTACTGTTTTACCTGCTCTGCAAGTATTTTATGTTGTGTACAGAACTTAATCCCGTTCTCTTGTAGCAAACTAGCACATAAAATTGCAATTCTGCTAAGTACTGTTAGGGAAAGTCTTGATGATAGGAGACTGCCAGTCTGGGATCAGGAAGATCTTTGAAGAAATGAACTTGGTGGTGGTGGGTGTCCTTCCCCCTCAGAACCTCAGGAGCCCCATCTTGTTTTTTGAGACAAGGTCTTGGGACCTGGCACACACTGTCATTTCTTGCCCCTTTTTTTTTTCTTTTCTGTTCTTAGTGCTAAGGATTGAACTCAAGTTCCTATGCTTGCTTGGCAAGTACTTTCAAAATGGAGTCATCTGCTCACCCTGTGAACAGAGATCTAATGATAGATCTTTTCTGTAGGGCTTAGTAAGCCATGGCCTTATTGAAGGAAAATACACTTTCCCGAGAACCCAAAGCCTTTATTGACTTTAATGAATATGTAACATAGATCCTTGAGGTTCCAATTAGCTTAAGAAAGGCCAACTACTAGTTTTAGTGTGGAAATTTTTTTCAGAGGACAAGAATGGAAGGGAATATATTTATGAAGGAAAGGGCTTTTTAGAGTTGTTCAGCTGAGAGATGATGGAATTCGGAAATACAAAGAGTTTAGAGAGGTTTTCTTTCTTTCCTTTTTTTTTTTTTTTTTTTTTTTTTTTTTGGTTTTTCGAGACAGGGTTTCTCTGTAGCTTTGGTTCCTGTCCTGGAACTAGCTCTTGTAAACCAGGCTGGCCTTGAACTCCCAGAGATCCCCTGCCTCTGCCTCCCAAGTGCTGGGATTAAAGGCATGTGCTGCCACCACCACCTGGATTAGAGAGGTTTT